AGAATATATATATATATATAATCTGTTAAATATTGATTACCCATTGTTAGTTTATAGGAACACAACATGTCTGACGCACGTTGCGGTCTTTCTTGCTTGGTCTTTCATCCCTTCCAGGAATGTCCATGTGACTAAAGAAATGAATGAGATTCTGTCATTTCCCTCCAAGCACTCTTCCAGAAGGACTAATGAAATCTGATGAGGGCATTGTGAGAACCTCTGATTTGTAGCCAAGTTGGACTGCAGTTGTGGGTAAACTGGAGACCCACAGATACCTACTGCTTCCGGTTGGTATCTGAAGTCAGGAGGAGAGTGGTTTTGTGTGACTAAGCCCTTAACCTATTGGATCTGACACTGCTGGCAGATAGTGTCAGAATCGAGTTAAATTAGATACCCAGCTGGTGTTGTGGAGAATTGCTTGGTATGGGTCCCCTTGCCCCATACAAACATTTGGTGACCAGAGGTGTCAGAAGTAAAATGTCCTGTGTAAAGTAAATGAGACACAGCAGGAGGTGAAAAACTGGGCAGGTTTTCCTATGCAGGGCTAAATAATTCATTTAATTCTAATTTAGTCAGAATATCCATGCCCATTAGGGGATTTTTTGGGGGCAATGGGTACTGTTGCAATGCAAAATTCAGGCAAAACAATAGTTCCAATGGTCAAGGCAAAGAATACATGTTTGCCCCTTATTTTTATGTTCAAGAACCTTCCTCAGATTATAAAGGATACCTTGTTAAAATTATTGGGGTCCCCAGCATTTGTTGAGGATATAAAAATATGCCAATCAGTGCATTTCAGCTGATGTTAAACTTAATTCAGAACCATGTTGAAGAGATGCAAAAGCCAATCGCCACACTTTGATTTTTTGTTTTATGAATTCTTTCAGTAAATTCTGGGGTTCCAATAGGGTCAAACTATATACATCTGTTTCAGTTTTGTTTATTTGTTTTTTGTTCCTTCCCCATACCCAGGTTTCTCTCCCCTCCCCTCCCCTCCCCTCCCCTCCCCTCCCCTCCTCTTCTCTCTTTCATCACTGGATATGCTTCAAGGGATGTGCTCTCTATCCTATTCATATTTATTTATATTAAATTTCTTCCCCCAGAGAGTCTCAAATCAGTATCTTCAGGGTTAGAGAATTCTTCACAATAATGGATTATGTACCTCATGCTTAGATTAGGTTTGAATTAACCCATTCACTGTGACACAGAGATGCCATAGGTGTTTCTCTCTAAAACCCTGAGGATTCAGATCTTTATTGAGAGAAAGGCATGGGAAACTGTAGCAGAAGACATATTTAAAGGTCCTTGTGAGCTTTCTATTCTTAGGAGGGTAGATCTCAAAATAGCACATAATGTGTACTTTTCTCTCCTCTCCTTCCCACTCCCATCCTGACCCTCCCCTCCTCTCTGCTTCCCTTTGCTTCCCTTCCCTTCCCTTTCCTTCCACTCTCTCTCTTTCTCTGTCTCTCCCTGTCTCTCTCTCTAATGACTACTCTTTTGTGAGCAACCACCCAATTAAACTATATTGTGCACAGGGTATACTGTTTCCCCTGAGTACCCACAGGGGCCAATGCTTTGTTGAAACAGACAACCAAATAAGGGTAAGAATCTTTCCCCTGACCCTAGTGTCATTCACATCTTCATTCTAAGACATCTCCATACACATATGTCTGCTTGAGACACAAGACCCAGGGCCACATTAAGGAAAGGTCCAATTTCATACTCTTGTCTTTAAAAGCCATGTAATTATTGAAACTTCTAAGTCAGGTCAGTTAGATCTATAAGAAAGACTTGGAAAGATTGAACAAATGCAGCACAGTGCAGCACTGTTTAAAATGCAAGCTTGCTAGCAGGGAGTAGCTCAAAATACATGCTTGCCGTCACGCAGCCAAGCCAGAGCAAGAAAAGACAGACTTGCAATGGTGGTGGTCATCATCTCAGTGCCCCACTCACTACATCAAGTGTAGTGGGCACTCTACAGAAATATGACGGACTGCCACCCAAAATGGGGCTTGGATGTTGAGGCTGAAAATGCCACACGCATATGAGTATGAAAACATTTAATCCTAATATGAAGATCTCCCTGTCTGTAGAGAGCATAGCAGCCCTTCTAAGCTTGTCTGAAATGCCATGACAGGTATGGAAAATGGCTGTAAAAAAATCTGGGTACAGGACCCATGGACATGGACAATGGGGTGGGGATTGATGGTGGGGAGGTGGTGGGCAGGGTGGGGGCAAGCAATGCAGAGAATGGTGGGACAACTGTAACTGAACAACAATATAAAAACAGCAATCCAAAAACCATCGTGGTTAGGATGTGGGTTCAGAGTGAGTTCCTGCATATGCAAATCTTTCCTTGTCACCAAAAAGGGAGGAACTGGCCTTTTTTTAAAAGTGAGGTATGATCAACATACAATTAAGTAAATGCTGAAAATCACTTTGTATCCCTATCAGTACTGACTGAGAGTACCTCTTTTTTTGTATCTTGGTCAACACTGGGTATTAACAATCTTTGTCAAGTTGATAGGTGAAAAATAGTATTGATTTAATTTGTTTATATTTCCTAGTTAGGCTGAAGATATTTTCCTATATTTTTGCCTACTTGTATTTCTTCTTTTGTGACTTGACTATTCATGTTTTGTTAATTTTTTATTAATTTGTAAAAGCTTTTTATATTTATTAAGGATACTAACCCTTTGTCTACAGAAAAGTAAAGTATGGTCGACATGTAACATCATATTAGTTTCAGGTATACAACAGAATGATTCAGTATTTGTATATGTTGCAAAATGATCACCACAATAAGTCTAGTTAAGATCTGTCACCATACACAGTTACAAAATTTCTTTATTGTCATGAGAGCTTTTAAGATCTATTCTCTTAGTAACTTTTAAATATGAAACATAATATTTTTTATTTTATCATGGAATTTTATTTTAAAATGCATTTTATAACATGAACAGTATAGAAAAGCTCAATAATTTTATTCTAACTTACAAAGAAGACTACTGGAATTAAACTAGGATCTATATATCCTTTCTCCAAATAATGTTTGAAATTTTGAATATTTAATCTATAGTTATTCAATCAGTAATAAGAATTATTCTAAGGTAAGAAGTTTATGAGGCAAGTATAGAAACAACCTGTGCATGTACACGAATATTAAATTCTTATTTACTTGAAAATATGCTTAATTTTCCTAGAATTTGCTCCAGCATACAGCTATTTCTCAAGCGTTCCTAGCTAGTTCCTACATCTTTTTTTATTCTCCAATTACAGTTTACATTCAGTATTATTCTGTGTTAGTTTCAGATGCACTGCATTGTGGTTAGAAAATCATGTACTTTACAGAGCAGTTCCCCCAGTATTTCAAGTACCCACCTGGCCCCATACATAGTTATGATACTATTGACTATATCCCCTATGCTATAGTTTACATCTCTGTGACTATTCTGTAATTACCAGTCTGTACTTCTTAATCCCTTTACGTTTTTCACCCAGTCCCCTAACCACCCTCCCCTCTGTCAACTGTCAGTCTGTTCTCTGTATCTATGAGTGTGTTTCTAGTTTGTTAGTTTATTTTGTTCATTAGATTCCACATATAAGTGAAATCATATGGTGTTTGTCTTTCTCTGTCTGACTTATTTCACTTAGCATCTGAGTCCATCCCTCCAAGTCCCTCCATGCTGTGGCAAATGGTAAGATTTCATTTTTTAATGCTGGGTAGTATTCTATTGTGTAAATGTACCACAGCTTTTCCACCCACTCATCTATTGAAGGGTGCTTGGGTTGCACCCAAATCTTGGCTGTTGTAAATAGTGCTGCAATGAACATAAGGGTGCAAATATTCTTTCAAGTTTTCTTCTCTTGGTTTCTTTGGATATATACCTAGAAGTGGAATTGCTAGGTCACAAGACCATTCCATTTTTAATTTTTCTTGAGGAATCCCCACACTGTTTCCCATAGTGGTTGTACTAATCTGCACTCTCATCAACAGTGCACCAGCATTCCTTTTTCTTGGCATCCTCACCAGCACTTGTTTGTTGATGTATTGATGATAGCCATTCTGACAGGTGTGAAGTGGTATCTCATTGTGGTTTTAATTTGCATTTCTCTGATGATTAGTGATGCTGAGCATCTTTTCATATGTCTATTGCCATCTGTATGTCCTCTTTGGAGAAATGTTTATTCATGTCCTTTGCCCATTTTTAAATTGGATTGTTTATTCTTTTGTTGTTGAGTTGTAGGTGTTCTTTGTAAATTTCAGATATTAACTCTTATCAGGTGTACCACTGGTGAATATGTTCTCCCATTCAGAGGCTTGTCTTCATTTTGTTGATGGTTTCCTTTGATTTTTAGTTTGTTATTAACTGTAGTCACCATGCTGTACATTACACCTGCATGACTTTTTTATTTCATAACTGAAGAGTCAAGGCTTTCTTATCAGCTAGCCCAGATGGTGCAGAAGGGGAAGAGAGAGAGAGTGGTTTGAAAACCATTAGTAGCCAAACATGACACACAAAAAAATGAGGTCAGACACTTTATTACATAGCTCTTATAGGGTATATATAAATAACACAAATCAAGGGAGTTAATTGCACTGCATTTGGATAAAATACGTTTGACTGCTTATTAGTGTCTTTGAACTAAAGACACTGATAAAGAACAATTATTTCTTTAAGAAAGAAGGATGTTTTCATTCCTTTTCTTTCCTTCACAGGAAGGGACTGATATGTTACTGTGTTTATGGATTTATGAATCTCTAAATAACCTTACTTCTCTAATTTCCTCGGCCCATTCTTTCCAAAGTGATACATATAGTAACAGGTTAATGGAGAAAAATCTAATATGAAAAGAGTTCTAAGAAGGTTATTTGTCATAACTGAGAAGTATTACTAAAGGAGAATGGTTCATAAGTATGAATACTTTATGTATGAATTGCCTAAATACAGACACACTGATGTGCTTGTTTCCTATATACCAACCTTCATGTATCTTCCAAAAGGTGTCTCTGCTATGTGGAACCACAGAATCTCACAGGTACCTTGGAATTCTTCCTTATGGGGTTCTCAGCTCATCCAGAACTTCAGCCTGTAACTTTCAGCCTCTTCCTGTCCATGTACCTGGTGACCATGCTGGGGAACCTGCTCATCATCCTGACCATTGCCTCTGACTCTCACCTCCACACTCCCATGTACTTCTTCCTCTCCATCCTGTCCATGGCTGACATTGGCTTTACTTCTACCACCATGCCAAAGGTGATTTGGGACATTCATACTCACAGCAGAGTCATTTCCTATGCTGGCTGCCTGATTCAATTGTCTTCTTTTTATTTTTTTGGGTGTTTGGACAGTGTACTCCTATCTGTGATGGCCTATGATCGGTTTGTAGCTATTTGTTATCCCCTGCACTACCCAGTCATCATGAACCCCCCGCCTCTGCAGCCTGTTGGTTCTGGTGTCTTTTTTGATCAGCCTTTTTGACTCCCAACTGCACTGCTTGATGATATCACAGCTTTCCTTTTGCACAAATACAGAAATTCCTCATTTTTTCTGTGACCCTCCACAACTCCTCAACCTTGCTTGTAATGATAACTCTACCAATACAATATTAGTCTATTTTATTGGTGCAATCTTTGGTGGTATTCTAGTCTCAGGGATCTTTTTCTCTTACTGTAAAATTCTTTCCTCCATTCTGAGAGTCCCATCGTCAATGGGGAAGTATAAGGCCTTCTCCACCTGTGGCTCTCACTTGTCAGTTGTTTGTTTATTTTATGGAACAGGGCTTGGCATGTACCTCAGTTCTGCTGTCTCACATTCTTTCAGAAGGGGTGCAGAGGCCTCTGTGGTGTATGCCGTGGTCACCCCCATGCTGAATCCTTTCATATACAGTCTGAGGAACAAGGATATCAAGAGGGCCATGTGGAGGCTCCTCAGCAGAACAACCTAGTCTCAATATTTGGGCCATTGTGGGTTTTTTTGTCTGTGGATTGGAAATGACTGCAAACCCAACATCTGGAATTGGCAAACATACCTCTTTGATTATACGATTTTTGTAGCTCATGGTTTTCATTCCTCTTTATCTATTGTATCTGAAAATTGCTTATTTTGACACATCTTTAATGGGATTAAAGGAGTATTCTGTGATCCTATGTATGTCAGAAATCACCTCACAATTGAATACTATTACAACTATGGAATCTTCTGTATTTGTTGTCTAGGATCCAGGCATCCTGTAAAAATTCACAACTCCCTTTTAATGTGTATGTATATGTATATATGATTCTCAACCATTTTCACTGTCTATGTCTATTTTTTCATAAAACTTTGTCTTCAAACAAATGTATTAGTGCAGGTTGTGATTAGTGCAGGTCACTGATCCACAATTTAGACTTCCTATTGGTAGCATCAGATGAGCTTTAAAAATCTTCATGGCTCAGTTCCATCACCATACAGGAAGATTTAATTGGATTGGAGAGTGAAAAGAGCATAATGATTTTTAAAATTATTTTATTGTTGTTCAAGTCCAGTTGTCTGCATTCTCTTCCCCCTACTCCCCACCCTCACCCCAGGGATCTCCACCTCCATCCCCTGATTCCACTCCCCTTGGTTTTGTCCATGTGTCCTTTATAGTTGTCCCTGAAAACTCTTCCCTACTTTCCCTCAATTATCCTGTTTTACCTCCCCTCTGGTTACTGTCAGTCTGTTCTTAATTTCAATGGCTTTGATTATATTATGCTTGCTTCTTTGTTTTCTTGATTAGATTCCACTTATAGGTGTGATCAGATGGTATGTCTTTCACTGCCTGGCATATTTCACTTAGCATAATGCTTTCCAGTTCCAACCATGCTGTCGCAAAGGGTAGGAGCTCCTTCTATCTTTCTACTGCATAGTATTCCATTGTGTAAATGTACCATAGTGTTTTGATCCATTCATTTATTGATGGGCACTTAGATTGCTTCCAGCACTTGGCTATTGTAAATTGTACTGCTATGAACATTGGGGTGTATAGATTCTTATGGATTGGTGTTCGAAGGTTCTTAGGATATAATCCCAATGGTGGAATAGCCAGGTCAAAAGGCAGTTCCATTTTTAGTTTTCTGAGGAAATTCCATACTGTTTTCCACAGTGGCTGCACTAGTCTGCATTCCCACCAACAGTGCACTAGGGTTCCCTTTTCTCCACATCCTCTCCAACACCTGTTTGTTGATTTGTTTATGATGGCCATTCTGACCATGGTCACTGTGGTATCTCATTGTAGTTTTAATTTACATCTCTCTGATGGCTAGTGATGCTGAACATCTTTTTGTATGTCTCTGGGCTCTGTGTATGTCCTCCTTGGAGAAGTGTCTGTTCATGTCTTTTGCCCATTTTTTAATTGGGTTGTTTGTGTTCCTGGAGTGGACTTGTGTGAAAAGAGCATAATGTTCTTAACAGCACCCCAGGTGGGTCTAAAGTGTAGCCATGGTGGAGAACTACTGACTTTTGTCAGACCTTTTATTCAAAAATGACTTGCATGTCTTGAGTTTTTTACTGTTCATGATCAGATCCTGAAGACCCTTTTTAAAAAAAATAGTTTATTTTTTATTTTTATTCTATTACAGTTGTCCCAACTTTTTCACTTTTGCCCCCCTCCAGTAATCCCACCCCTCTCTCCCCTAGTCAATTCCTTTTCCATTGTCCATGTCAATGAGCCATTAATACATGGTCTTTGACTAGTTCCTTCCCCTTCCTGAAGATCTTAAAGTGATCAGAGCTCAGGAGAAGATATGAAAGAGTTTGTCTTAGTAACATCCAATGTGATTTCCCCCTCATATTCCAGGTAGTATTTTTTTCCTGTTTATTCTCCTCTGCACTGCACCCCCTCTCACCACATACCCCAAACCCTTAGCTCATGTCCATGTGTCATACTTATAAGTTCTTTAGCTTCTACATTTCCCATACTATTCTTGCCCTCTCCCTGTCTATTTTCTACCTACCATCTATGCTACTTATTCTCTGTATCTTTTCCCCCTCTCTCCTCCTCCCACTCCCCTGTTGCTAACCCTCCATGTGATCTCCATTTCTGTGGTTCTGTTCCTGTTCTAGTTGTTTGCTTAGTTTGTTTTTGTTTTAGGTGTGGTTGTTAATAATTGTGAGTTTGTTGTCATTTTACTATACATTTTTTAATCTTCTTTTTCTTAGATAAGTCCCTTTAACATTTCATATAATAAGGGCTTGGTGATGATGACCTTTAAGTTGACCTTATCTGAGAAGCACTTTATCTGCCTTTCCATTCTAAATGAAAGCTTTGCTGGGTAGAGTAATCTTGGATGTAGGTCCTTGCCTTTCATGACTTGGAATACTTCTTTCCAGCTCCTTCTTGCCTGCAAGGTATCTTTTGAGAAATCAGCTGACAGTCTGATGGGAACTCCTTTGTAGATTACTGTCTCTCTTATCTCTTGCTGCTTCCAGGATTCTCTCCTTCATTTTAATCTTGGCTAATGTAATTATGATGTGCCTTGATGTGTTCCTCCTTGGGTCCAACTTCTTTGAGACTCTCTAAGCTTCCTGGACTTCCTGGAAGTCTATTTCCTTTGCCAGAATGGGGAAGTTCTCCTTTATTATTTGTTCAAATAAGTTTTCCACTTGTTGCTCTTCCTCTTGTCCTTCTGGTACCCTTATAATTCAAAAATGTGGGAATGTTTAACAATGTCCTGGAGGTTCCTAAGCCTCTCCTCAGTTTTTTGAATTCTTGTTTCTTCATTCTTTTCTGGTTGGATCTTATTTCTTCCTTCTGGACCACTCCTTTGATTTAAGTCCCATTTTCCTTCCCATCACTATTGGTTCCCTGTGCATTTTCTTTCATTTCACTCAGCATAGCCTTCATTTTTTCATTTATTGCAACCAAATTCAACTAATGCTGTGAGTATCCTGATCACCAATGCTTTGAACTGTGCATCTGATAGGTTGGCTATCTCTTAGTCACTTAGTTGTATTTGCTGTGGAGCTTTGATCTGTTCTTCCATTTGGGCCATTTTTTTTTTGTTTTGTCACACCTGTTACATATGAGGGGCAGAGCCTTAGGTGTTCATCAGGGCGGGCCAACCCAGTTGCTAGGTTGTGATGCTGTATATGGGGAAAGGGTCCAAGAGGGAACAATGGCCCTTGCTCTGCTCTCTGTCAGATTTCAGTCCCTTCTGTTGCTCCCCCCAAGCAAACTGGGCCTTTCTGGAGCTGATTCCCATGTGGGTGGGCTTGTGTATGTTCTAGGAATCTATGGGTCTCTCCAACGAACTCTCCTGTGAAGCTGGGAGTTTCTCCTGGTACCTCAACCTCCACAGGTGTTTTCATTCAGGGTTTGAGGCTTTATTTCCCTGCACTGGAACCCTGGGTTGCATGGTCTGTCTAGCTCTCCAGGTCCTGGTTTATCTGTGTGTAAATTTGGGACCACCCAGTCAGCCAGCCGCCTTGTGCACCATGCCCTGCTTCACAATGACTGCCTCACTGGGTCTGCCCATTGCCACCCCATGCCTGGGGTCTGCCAGGAGCTGCCTGTGTGCCAAGGTCTGCCTGCTGCCATCTTGTGTGCCCAGAGTTTGTCAGCTGCTGCCATGTGCACCCAGTGCCACCACTTTTTGTGCTACAACTCATCCCCACCCAGGTGCCTGATTCTGCCCCTCCTACTGGTCTAAATGAATGCGTCTATTTTAAATCCTTGGTTGTCGGACTTCCATACAGTTCAGTTTTCTATCAGTTCTGGTTGTTGTTTTGTTTCTAAATTGTTGTTGTCCTTATTTTGGTTGTGGGTGGAGGCATAGTGTGTCTACCTATGCCTCCATCTTGGCCACAAGTCTCAAGTTTTTCTTTTTAATGTTTTTGAGTACCTACCCTGACATTGATTGATGGACCCTGAGAAACCACTTTTAAAAGAATGTCAAAGGATCACATATTTGAGGGACACTGTCTTAGGACCTTGAACAACAAATCCTGGAGAGGCCCAATGACCTCCATGCTGCACTTCAAAACAAAGGATACCGTAAGAAAGACATTACATAATGATAAATGGAGCACTATAACAAGAGGACATAACTCTTGAAAACAATTATGCACCCAACTTAGGAGCACCTAAATATATAAAGTAATTCTTGATGGACACAAATGGAGAGATGGATACTAAAACAGACAGAGGAGGGGATTTTAACACCCATTGACATCAATGAACAGATTGTGCAGACAGAAAATCACAGGGAAACAGCAGCCAGCAGCCATGAAGGACACACCATATCAGATGGATTTAATGGATATCTTCAGAGCATTCTACCCCAATGAGCAAAATATACATTCTTTTCAAGGGCACATGGGAAGTTGTCCTGAACAGACCACATGTCAGGATTCAACACAAGTCTCATGAAATTTAAGATGATAGATATCATATCAATCATCTTTAAAAATAATGACATGAAGCCAGAAAACAATCACAAGAAGAAAAATTGAAAAACACACAAAGACATGCAAGCTAAATAATATGTTACTAAAGAATAAATGAATTAAGAGTAAGATCAAGGAAAACATTTTAAAAATACCTTGGAACAAATGAAAATGAGAACACGACAACCCAGAACCTACGGGGCACAGTGAAAGAAGACCTAAGAGGGGAATTCATAGCATTACAGGTCTACCATGAAGAACTAGAACAACCTCAAATAAGAAACCTTCCTTTACACTTAAAAGAACTAGAAAAAGAACAACAAACGAAGCCCCAAGTGAGTAGAAGAAATAAATAAAAAATATTGGAACAGAAGTAAGTGAAAGAGTCTATGAAACAATGCCAAAGGTCAGTGAAACCAAGAGCTGTTTCTCTGGAAAGATAAACAAGTTTGAAATCTCTTAAACCAGAGTCATCAAGAAGAAAAAAGAAGCCCTGGTTGGCATAGCTCAGTAGATTGAGCGCAGGCTGCAAACCAAAGC